GCCATTAATTTGGCAAGTATGAAGAATGACCAAATTCAGCGTCACAAGTCGGTGAGTCGTGGGGTGCCACCTGCTAGGGTGGGCATTGGTGCAGTCAAACCGCTCCAATCCGCACCAAACCGCTTTCGCGGTCGAGCCACACCGCACCGTAAGGCATGCAGTCTAATGTGTGGTCTGAATTTTTAGCGGCTCGCGGTTCGCGGTTCGATTACTCCGAAACCGCGCGGTTGCGGTTTGAAACCGCAAACCGCAAATGAATTCAACTACCTAATTTCATAGTGTTGTGTTTGGGAATCGCCAGAGTGGACAGACCGTTTAGCAAGTGGCCTTCTTAAAATTAAAAAGCAAACTCCGCCAATGTAATGGATTGCCTGCAAGGGGTAATGGAGTATCAACGGAACTGTGATTTTCGAGAAACCAGAGACAGAGTACAGCCTCTGTTATTTGGAACCCAGAAAACATAGCCTAATTATCATGTGTCATTTTCTCTCTGGATTCATGTAACAGAGTCCTATTCTTCACCATCACAGGATTTTTGTATGTTAATGCTCTCTTTCTTTATTTCTTGCTCTTAATTAATTACTTCAGTTTTTTCCCTCTTTGCTGATCTTATTCTTCTTCCTCTTATTAGATCACCAATTGCATCCATCTCTTTAGAACGCAGCAGGAGTAGACCGTCAATACTGAAAAGGAATTTGATTTCGAAAGTGTTATAATCCGTAATGAATTGCGGTCAAACATGCGGTGCGGTCTAAACCGCACCAAACCGCTAATTAATGCGATTTGGTTTGACCGCACCAATTATATTGTAGTCGAACATGCGGTGCGGTCCAATTGACATGCGGTGCGGCGCGGTTTATACCAATATGGTGCGGTGCGGTTTGAACCGCACCAATGCCCACCACTACCACCTGCTAGAGAAGGAGGGTTGACAAGGCCAATAGCATCGGCCAAAACCCTTATCTCTCCTTTCCAAACTATTACCCATCGTGAACTACATGGAAGCACTCTTCCTCGGTCTACTATTGCTAGCACATAAAGGTTTGGTAGTGAAGGAGTTCTAAAACAATGTGGGGGTTTCGATGGCTTGGGTGCCAAGACACCCCTCCTAGAGCATGTACTTTGGTTTTTAGTGGCACTCTCTACTTTATTTACCCCATTTTATTACCTCTTTTTCATTTCTCTTTTCTTTTCTTTCCTTTTCGAGGGGGGTACTAGAGAGTAAAAACACTTGCCACCTATACATTTAACGACCAAATGTACTTGCTAGTAACAACTGTGATGCTACACACCGTGATAAGAGCGAACTATCACACCGGAAGCAAACGATCGTCTCAAAGCTCACAGGCTACCTAGTTACCCAACCATCTATTCCAATTCACAAACACAATGCATGGCAGTTGATTCGGGCCCAAATGTACACATTTTACCCCTCATTTCTTATTCGTTTAGCTTAGTATTTCATCGTTCCTCGACATATTTCATGCTAGGTTGTGCTTGTTTTGATATATTTCAGGTCCTAGCACGTGTGGAAGGGTCGAGGCCGAATTTTGGGATAATTGGAGGTCAAAAAGTGAAAAAAACCAAAGAAAAGTCCGATGTCCGTGACAATTGCCTCGTAATAGTGAAGTGAAGTCGTCTTAGGAAACAGCCGCAATTCACGGTCGGATAAGGCAGTTCACGGTCTCCTAAGACCGTGAACATGGACCACAAACCGTGAACATCGAGTAGTCCAGAGAGGTTTCAGAAGTTACTAGCGATAAGGCAGTACCGTGAAATGGGGCCATTGACCGTGAACCTAGGCGAGTGAAGCGGTGCGTTCTGGACGACGCTGAGTTCACGGACGCGTTTAGGTGTTCACCGCCGTGAACTGGCCAATGCGTACGTGAACTGATCACTTTCGGGCAAATGTGAAGACAACAGCGGGGAGAGAGAAAGGGGAGCTGGTTTTTGGGGAAGAAACACTTTCTTTCTCTAGGTTTTCAACCTAAAACACCAAAGGGGAGTTCTAGTGAGAGAGACAGAGAGTTAGTGTGATCTTGGAGCATCATTGGAGGCTTGGGTGGAAGATTCAAGCCTAGAAGAAGAAGAAGATCTTGAGCTCAAATTTGTAATCCCTCTCTCTCTCTCTAGAAACTCACTCTTTTCTCTTTGGGTGTTGTAGATCCCTGACTAGTACTTTATAATTACTTGTTTAGATTGAATGATTGTCATTGGGTATTGGTTAATTCATAATTGAGGTATTATTCATGTGATTGTGCATGCTCGTGCTTAGCAGCCTAGGGGTTGTGCATGTTTTGTGCTTAGCATCCTTAGTTTGTGCATTTTGGTGCTTAGCAACCTAAGGATTGTGCATAATTGTGCTTAGCACCCTTAGGTTTGTGCATGTTGGTGCTAGCAATCTAATTAGCCATCTTAACCTAGCTTAGAGAAGAAATCCCCCTTCCAAGGGAGACTCAATCGAGTTGGTTTTCCTTCAGCTTTTTAAGCCACCTAACTAGGTTAGGGCAAACCTCAATGTTGAATTAAGCAAATTGGTTAAGCGCAATTAAGCCGTCCAACCCTTGATTTGAGTGAGGGAGTAAGTCAACCACCGATTGCCTAAACCGAGAGGGTCGAGTGACACAGCCTATAATGTTTACCTCGATTTAGCAATCGAGATTGTGGTCTACGACCATATATGCATCCCTCTGTTGTTCGCAGTTACCTTGCCCATAGCAATCGTTCCAATCCAACGAGTCTTGGTAGCTAGTTAGGGGGAAGCAACTCTTGGGTGAAGCTACCTTAGTTAGAGTTTTCCTTTATTTACTTTTCCTTGCTTGTTTAGTTTGTAGTTCCATTAGCTATAAACCGTGAACTTCCTCGGATAGCCGTGAACTGGCCCTTTTTCACCTCTTCCCTCGGTTTTCGATCCTTTTCGTCCAACTTTCAACTCCAAGGTTGGTTTCACATGATAAACCCTGAAACACACTAAAACACGAGGAATCCAGAATAAAACCAACCTTTTAGGAGTGAATTTGGCACAAACACCTAAGTAAAACGGGGGCAAAACAATTTAGCCCGTATCAATAACAATCCTTGACCTAACGGTTAAGAGAGCTAGTTCCCCTAGCTTATATTTGTTGATTTTCCTTCATTGATCGACTAAGGGAGTTGGTCCCTAGCTAGTTGCGCCCACCTCGCGGTGTATGAGAACATCATTCACACTAGAGCTCTGTTTGCCGCTTCTTAGCATGAGACTAGGGGGAGAACTACCCAAGTGAAGTCCCCTCAAGTAGAATTCTCCTCGATTTAATTTCCTTGTTTGTTCATTTTGTAGTTTTCTTAGTTTTAAACCCAAAAGCGTTTGCTAGATAACAAACTTAAGTGACTGAAGTAGGGGTACATGGACCGGCCCAGGTTGACAATTTCAATACTTGCCCTATACTGCAGCCGGCTAGAGTTTTAAAACTTGGGCTCTAGTCGGGATTAATTCGCGGTGTAGTTTCGTGCGAGTCATTTGACGTGAGATATGCATGGATCGGTTAACTAGTGGGTCTGCATTGATTTCGGATTGTTTGTGATGGATGAGAGAAATGTGAATTGTTTGATTCATTATCATATTAATTCACATAGACGTAGAACAGGCATGCACTTTTACCCGCAGATGATTATGTGTTTGTGTAGATTTAGCTCGCTTCGGCGCGTGATTATTGTGCAGGTTGCATGAAACCGCGGATGATGATGATTTGCTTGAGCGGGGGTAAGTGCATGGTGACCTTGGCGCTTTTAATAATTAATCGGAATTTTGATATCATGCATTGATTATGTGTTCGTGAAACTATGTGATTATCATATTGGATAAATTGGTTCGATGATGATGAGTTGATGGATTTGATATATTGATTGATTATTTATATATGATGACTTAGGATGGCATCTAGACTATTGAATTGCGATTGATTATGACTAGGTCGCGGGAAAGATCCACACACAGTTTTGTTGCTAACCCACGTCTGTTTTTAGGCTCACAGGTGCAATAAGATCGGACTACTAAGGGTGCCCCATCTGCCAATACTACCATCATGAGATAGTTTGGAATACTGTTCCACTATGGTCATCTAGAATTTCTGCTTTGAGTGTTTTGACTAATAAACCCACGTTTTGTGCAAATTCAATAAGTGGGATGAGGTTTGAATAATGAGTTTGTATGATAACAATATAGGTGGTGTTTTATTATCGGATATGATGTTGAGATGATCGAGTTCAGCCCGTAACACCGAGGAGTTGGCTGCTTGGTTGAACCACGGGTTCAACCAGAGAGATTATGGGTGGGGTGTTACACTTAGGATTCCTTATATTGCTTTCTCCAAATCTGATGCGAGCCTCCGGAGTGACCCGATTCGAAATGGGAAGAAGGACATACCACGTGGGAACAAGAAGACAGATGAGGCCAAAATCCCCAGCCTGAAGCCGATTTTCCCCGCCCTGTGAGTCATCATCATATCACTGGCATATCATGATGTTATGATAGATATAACAGTGATTATACTATAAAGTATAACCAACACATTTTTTGAAGAGTTAATTTTTCTTTACTCGAAATATAACAAAATGAATATCATTGCGTACATCAGAATTAATGCATTCTTTCAAGGGCACAGAGTTACTAGTCAACTCTTATCTTTCTTTTTTTTCTAAATATTTGGAGAATTTTTTCATAAATACCACTAAATGTTTTTCAAAAATTCCACATGTTTTTTAAAAATTTAAAAAATACAACTATTTCTAAAAACCGCTTGAAGAGGGCGCGGTTTTTGCTGAAAATCACCCGGGGTCGGGGCGGTTCGATTGACCGCGCGTAGGGTTGTGGCGGTCAAAATGCAAATATTTGGACCATTAGATGGGAAAAGGGTTAGAGGGTGGATAGTGAGATTTTATAGTAGTTTTGTAGTAGTAGGTTTTGTATCCTATAAAAAAGGGTTAAACGAGACGAATGAAATATGTCAAAGAAATTTATAAGACTGCGTGGGTGAATGATATTAATGAGGCATCAAATTTATCATAGTCCTAGAGATAAACGGTCGTTAGTTTACAGACGCAACTCTCTTTACAGGGCTGAGACTGCATGATGCTAAAGTTTCTGATTATGATTACTCTTCGCAAAGAACATATCAATGGGGATATGTTTGCCTTCCTGTGGAGTTGTCTTGTGCTTCTTCGGCGTACCTTGAGTCGACATAGCATCTTTCGAGGCAAACCTGAAACAGAATTCACAGACTTCATGAAGATAGCAGAATTCAGCAAACACAGAATTTAGAGTCGAACAAGAAATAGAACCTTTTAAGTGGCAGAGAAGTTCTCGGATTGATGATACTGGTAGATTCCTCCTTCTGAAGCCTCTCGGCAAGATGGAAATCAGAATGTTCTTGTCTTTCCTCGAGGAAATCTGCCGGCATCTCAATCCCACACAGAGAGCACTTATAGTCATCCACCCAATACAAGTGGCCTTTCCATTCGGAAGGACTTGTGTCACTGACCATGATGAACTCATCTTTCAACTTTAACACCTCAGTTTCATCCTTCAGGAGACATGAAATCCATGTCAGAAAGAGCCAGAAAAATCGACAAAAACTAAACCAGAAAGAAAGAAAGAAAGTCGAAAGAACTTGAGAGGAGAATAAAGCTTCTCATTTGCCCTCTCCCAGATTGAACATACCTTGTCTGCAATTTTGCTGCTGGACAACACGCAGATTTCCCCACATTCATTGTTGCCAAAGGTACACTGGCTATCATCATGATTGTAATTAAATGGATCTCCTGATTCATAGTTATGTAATTCACTTCCAACAGGAAAACTTGTTTCAAGTTCATCCATGGAGTGCTGATCAGTATTATGTCCCTTAGAGCTTAGATGTCCCGTCTTTCTCTTGCACGTATCCCCCAATAGAACAAAGTCCGCAAGAGTTTTCTGTGTGGGATCAGATGGACCAACATGCTCGTCTTCACTTAAGTGGGACACTCTCAAACCTGAAAGAAACAGCTCGCCATTCCACGAGATGGACGAAGTAGAAGTTGTGCAAAGTGATATATCGGCCAATTGGTCTAGAAGACTCGCTTAGAAATGCATTGCCATCAGAAAACTGTTCTAATAAAAAAGAAGTCAAAGTTACCTATTAGTCTCAAAGAAACAGGAAGCTCAGCCTTCAACAGCTTTGAAGCATATTTCAAGATGTCTTCATTTGAGCTAACAAACTTCTGCAAAGTCACAGCTCTAGTTCGAACCTGATAGTCATCCAAATGTCACATGACAACATTATAACCTTAAATGTCTCAGCTGATAATAATAAGGAAGACATGCAATTCCCACAGACAGTCATGACTCATGAATGGTGATTCCTGATTCCTGAATCAATTGACAGTGGGGACACTTATCTATTCATTATTATCACCTAAAATGGAAGAACCACCAGAAGAACAAAGGATAATTCTGAATAAAAAAATATTGACCCATTTGAAACATGTTCCTTCACTGCTTTGCTTCAAATGCTGCAGTCAGTCTCAGATGCTTTCTTTTCCTGCTCCATTTAAAGGGGAAATGCGAATACAAAAATCAAGCAGTACCTCGAAAGATGCAGTTTTCAATTTGAGAGTCAATGTTCGACCACCTAGCCCTTCTTTCTGCATGTCAGCAGACAACATCTCGGCAACTTCAGCTGCATAGTGCCAGTGGTGAACATAACAGAAAAAGTTGGGTAAGTTGAATTGTAATTTACTGTTTCTTATTGGCGATGTACATACTCACAACAAGACAAGTTCATTTTCAGGAAAAGCTTCTCATTCTCAAAATAAACATTGGTCGCTTCTTGTTAACTGTTTCCCATAAGGTGAAACCTACCCAGTCGAATCTTTACCAGTTTACAAAAAGATCACACATGAAGTAGCTTTTTCACAAATTTGATTATGCAAATTGATGAGCCAGACTAAATGAATTGCTCAGTCAAGAGTATTCCCTAGCTATGCATCTAAAAGTTACTAAGGCGCTGAGGGGCAGTTACCTAATTTCTGAAAAAGAAGCACTTCATCGTTTGTGGCGGAGAAAGTTCTCTCACTGCTCATACTTTTTCGAGATCTCACCTGGGGGGTTTCTGTCTGGCCAAGCCCAAGTCCCACAGAAAGGAAAAAGTCTGCAGAGTGAGCATTAAAATGTCACCCTGATGAAAAATTGATAAATCATTAAATTCTTGGTTGACTTTAATCTGACTCCATATTGATGATTACATGACAAGAACTAAGTTGGTGCTGTAACCTGCTGCAGAACGAGAAAATAGAGCACAGAGAAGTCCTCCCTTCTGTAGCAAATGCTCACAAATGGAAATTTCGAGTACATCTCTCAAAATATGTTCAGTTACCTTGCCAATCCCTCCAATCTGCAAGGTGGATGTTGCATGTTTCACTTCACAACTAATGGAAGGGGATGATTGGTAACAAAACCTCAAAAGATAATGATAGCCAGTACTTTAAGCACTTCTGTGTAAAGGGAATTTACCTTCCTTATTGGAAGTGAGGATATAAATGTCATTACAGCCATTCGGTCATTTGGTAAAACAAACTGCCCATTTGGCTTGTTTATGTCAGAGCAAACCTGTTCAGAACTATAGTCATTGATCCACATACACAATTCCTAAATCTCATATTAAAAACTTTGAAACTGTGAGATGTATGGCCAGTCCTTAATAGCCTTAGAGGATAACTAGAAATAATTAGAAGAGGAATTTGCATGATTAAGAAATGCATAGGTTCTCAAACCTCAGATGTATGCCATAATTAATTTTTCTGTGCTAACACTTAAAAGGGATGTTTGGGACCTGTATGGCTGTACCCATGTTCCAGGATTACAAATGGAGGTTATTTAACTGTCTTATTTGCCTCTCAATTATCAAAACACAGCTTCATATACTATACAAATTTATTAGGCTGGTTTAAGAGATGAGGTTTGACATAGTGGGCATTTGGAAAATTCCCAAAACAGCTTCACTACCCAACTTGACAATTGAGCAAAATTGTTTTGCATATTACTTTCCCTTGTGTAACCTAGAATGCTCTGAATAAGTCATATATGGCCTTCTGTTCAAAGAAAAGACCTTTTCCTGTATGGTATTGACCAATTAAACTCCCATATTGAGCGGCAAACACGACACCGATAGAAAAGTTATTTGTTATCTATCACAGTATGCTTGTCTATCTTTACTTCACAATAAGAGAAACAACAGCAAGGAAGGGATGGCGAAAGAGAAGGAATTCTTTTGTTGGCTGCCATCTAAACGCAAGTAAATACAATAATAGGGAAACAGAAAACATAAAATGTATAGTGCACCTAAGATATCAGCTGTCGGCTGTTAAAGAGCATAAGAGATGGAACCTTAGCGAGTAAGCGATTTGGACCAATTCCAGCACTACATGTTAAGCCAGTCTCCTCGAAGACGCCTTCCCTGAGCTCTTCAGCAACCTATGCAGGAAATATAAATTAAAAAACAAAGAAATATAAATAAAGCAAAGGAAGATGCTACTTTGTATATGACATCCCTATGTTGAAAAGCAACAGGAGAAAATGCTGCAACGTACTTCTGCACCTGAAACGCCTCTTTCTTTGCAGATCTCAGTTATGTCAAGGTATGCTTCATCCAAACTTGCAGCAACGAAATGAGGATCATATTTCTGGTAAACTGAACACAAGCTAGAGTTAATGTCCAAATATGCAGGGACTGATATTCAGGATAATGAACGGATCCAAGTAACCAACCTTTTCTAGTCAACTCACTATAATGAGTATACTTCTTGAAATCAGGCGGGACAAAAATTAACTCTGGACATAAACGGCGTGCTATAAACCCAGGCATTGCAGCACGAACACCAAATTTTCGAGCCTACAAAGTGTAGCAAATGAGCCTTAATATGATGCTGATGGATCAATCAAGTACAAGTTGAATATTTAGCAAGAAAGTGAAAAATCAGAACCTCATAATTAGCAGTTGCAATCATTGAAGTGCTCCCGACAGCCATTGGCTCCCCCTTCAATGAAGGGTTGGCTAATGTCTCAACAGCTGCATAGAAAGCATCCATGTCCACATGTAGCCAAGTCCTTGAAAGGTCGCGTGTAGCTTCTAAGTCTATAATTCTTTTATCTGCGACCTGCGAGCATGATACAACATATAAATACAAGTGAATACCCTTCATCGAAGAGTCAGGGAGATTGCCAATCCTTCATACCGAGATTAAGAGTCACCCTAGCACAAGTCACCAGGTAATTTACCTTTTCATAATGAGATATCTCAGCTGGCTTCAGCTTTGCACAGTGGGCCCGCATGCTTTCTACTTTCTGCTTCATAGTGGCCTCTTTTCTTTCCTCATTCTCAAAATACTTTGAGCCCTTGCTCATCTCATAAACTACTCGTTGCACTTTCTCCTTGTCTACTCCATCCATGCCTAGGAATCATATAACACAGAACTTTTAGCCACAGAAAACGGTACACAAAACGGACCCCCTTTTCTCACTTGAGACCCGATCCATATTCTATACCAAACACTACAGATTAATAAACCATTTCAATCCTCGTCAATATTGATATGAGGAAGCCGTTTGGTCACTCTGAAACACTCTCAAACAACCAAGAGGTGCAGCAAACTTTCTGGAAGTTGGTACTCAAGACTGCCATTTTCTGTACGAGGAACCCATAATTCCAATAAAACATTGGGCAAGAATCGCAAGATACATAAAAAGGAATCGGTCAGTCACTCCAATTGACGACAAGGAATAGTAGGGGGGTACTGCCGACAAAGAACAAACGAAGTATCCGAGGAAGGAAGGAACAAAGGTGCTTTATCGTCGATAGATGGGGGATCATAATTCATAAGTTCAATCACCTGCTTTAGCATTGGTGTAGACGGTGTGATAAGATTGCCACGGGGCCGGCTGTTTATCTGCAGTAGATGTCGACGCTTCAGCTTCAGTCGCCATTTCACCCTTCTTCGCAGCAACGATTTATTCTCCTTCCTTCCCACGCTCGTCGTCTGCTTTATGTTCCTCCCGCGAAGAATAGAAAGAGCTAAATTTACGGGTAATTAGCACAAAAGGTCACAATCCTATGCACTTAGTACAAAACGGTCACAAACCTTTAATTTTGCACGTTTCAATAACAAATGTTTGAACGAATAACGAAAAGGCCATTCCGTCCATCTCCATCCAAAAAACTGTTACTTCTGCACAGTCAACATGCCACATCACTTAAAATATTAATAAAAAATTAATGACCAAATCCAATCAACCTAGACTCAACCCAACCGGTTGCCGAGTCAACCCCCTCATCGCCGTCCTCAACCCTAGCTCTGCCAAAATATCTCCTCACTTTCCCAAAACTTTCATCACGACGAACCTTCCAATAGTTCCATTTATTCCCAATCTACAGAGTAATTCCATATTGTCAATGCCATTAACTGTCATACTGTCAATGCCATTAACAAAACCTCAAGAGGCCATCAATCATCACAGCTGCTGGATCCACTAATCAGAGACTACACATTCAATTCCAACTTCATCAACAAGACAAAAACAAGGGAAAATCCACAACGTGAACCTCCCTGCTAACCTCTCTGGCACCAGATCTCACGAGGTCAGGTTTTGGTGCGGCAGCCGACATGCTACGGCGCCCATAACGACGAATTCCGCCTCAGAATCGGCGTCTTGCTCTACCCATGCCCGGAATGAGTGATTTTGCCGGCAAGAAGAGGAGCATAGCCTCATTCCAGCTACCCAATTGAGGTCGAGATCTGTTCCAGCCAAGGAAACCCTATCGCCATCAGTTTCACGAACATTATTGATGTTATCGATCCCCTGTGTGCGATATTTGAGGGAGATGGGAAGACAGTGAGCTTGAAACCTCCGATTTCAGCTCGAGTATGTAGTTCGATATCCAACGGGCATTTTGGGCTGTTCGTGCAGCTTTCACCTGCGCGGAGTCCGGAGCTTGCACTGGTAACGGCGGGAGAAGAAGGGAGAGTGACGGTGTGGAAAGTGGCGGTGGCGAGCAGCGTGGGGAGTGCGTTGGTGATTATGCTACTAGGTTAAGCCGACCACTTTTGGGGATTTTCATTCGATGTGAAGGGAAGGTTCGTCGGACTCAATATTTTGTGGGAGTGAAGAGATGTTTTGGCAGAGGTAAGGTCGACGATGGGGTAGACGAAGACGATGAGGGGTTGAAACGGCAACCGGTTTTGTTGAGTCTGGGTTGACTGGTTTGGTCATTTATTTTTTATTAATATTTTAAGTGATGTGGGACGCTGGCTGGGCAGAAGTAACGGTTTTTTGGATGGAGATGGACGAAATGACCTTTTCGTTATTCGTCCAAATATTTGTTATTGAAATGTGCAAAATTAAAGGTTTGTGACCGTTTTGTACTAAGTGCATAGGTTTATGACCTTTTGTGCTAATTACCCCTAAATTTACGAAATTCTGAGTTGGTAATGTCGCAACCGTCCCTCCGGCGATCGAGGTGGACTAGATAGTGTGACAACACCCCTTGTGTTGTTATTGTAACAACACTAGTCTCCAACCAATAGGAAGCTAGAGTTGTGATGACTTTTTATTAGCTTAGTTGACAGTGTAAAATTAAAACAGGGATATAATTGTCATTTTGAAAATATGTTTAAATAATAATAATAAATAATTAATTAATTATTTTTATTTTCGGCCCAATATTTTGGTCGCCGGAATTCAGCCACCGATCGCCAGAATTAGGTCGCCGGCCACCGGAATATGCTTTTTGTCGACAAAATATGCTTACCGGAGTCGGAATATGCTTACCGGCGTCGGAATATGCTTACCAGCGTCGGAATATGCTTATCGGCGTCGGAATCTAGTCATCGGGGCCGGAATATGCCTATCGGCGGCAAAATCTGCTCACTGACGGTCATCGGAGTTTGGTCAACGGTCAACGATCACCAAATGTTATGGTCTGCATTGTGAGATTTATGGTTTGGTTTCTCATATTTTTTATGCCTTTTGTGGTTTGCTTTATCGTGTTTGTGGTTTGCATTAAGAAGTTTCTGGTTTGCTTTATCGTGTTTGTGGTTTGCATTGAGAAGTTTCTGGTTTGCTTTCAAAAATTTTGTGTTTTGCATTGAGGGGTTTGTGGTTTGTTTTAGGAGATTTGTGGTATGCATTAGGAGGTTTCTGGTTTGTTTTTGTGGTTTGCTTTAACATGTTTGTGGTTTGCATTATGAAGTTTCTAGTGTGTTTTTGAAATTCTGTGGTTTGCGCTTTGTGAGGTTTCTGGTTTGTTTTAATATATTTTTGGTCTACATTAGGACGTTCCTGGTTTATTTTTGTGGTTTGCTTTACGGTGTTTATGGTTTGCGTTATGTGTTTTCTTGTGTGCTTTCAAAATATTTGTGGTTTGGTTTGTGGTGTTTATGGTTTGTTTTAGAGAATTTGTAGTATGCATTAGGAGGTTTCTGGTTTGTATTTTTGTGGGTTTTTTTTATCACGTTTGTGGTCTGCATTAGGAGGTTTCTGGTGTGTTTATTAAAGACTAGTGATCTGCATACCGATAACTCCTAAATGCATATCATAAACACAATAATAAACTAAAATAGATTAAAAAAATGCGATTGATATACTGAGCTCTATAATAATTAGGTCAAAACTTACACCCGAGGAAACAGAGAGGTTGAAAGAAGAGGAAAAGAACTATAGCAGGCAAGGCCAATGTAGTCCAGCCATCAACAGATGGATCCGGTGCACAGATCTCTTGTTCGTAAGGCACAGGTAGATCCAGAACCCCATAAACACAAGGTAAGAAATGACGTATACGGTATACAGAGAAGGTAATTGTGTCTGCCCAGCGGAGAGGAAATCCTTGGACCCATCCGAATCGACGTTATAGACATCAGTGCGAACATTCATGGAGACCTTCGTCTCCGGGGCACAGTTGGCGAAGAAGAGAGAGTACTCATTCGGATGAGGGATAGGATAGGATTGGTTAAAGGAAGAGAGCGGGGGGCTGTGAAAGGTCGCGAAAGCTGAAGAGATTGAGGACATATTTAGATCCGAGGACGCAGAAATTAGGGTTTTGCTGCATCTCGAGCAAGACATGTAACAGAGACTCTTCAGAGAGGAGGAAGAAGCCGAAACCTTAAGGGTCCGGATTGGGAGCGTTGATTGAGGAAGAGACGGAGACGTCGGAGACTGAGATCGTGACGTGGCCGGTGTGAGTGAATCCGAACTTCTCGAAGAGAATCATCGGCCTGGGGTCATTGGAAATCCTTAGGGTTTTGATCTCGGCGGAGACGGTGGCGATGAGAGATACGACGACGATGAGAGTCGCGGCCAGGGCGAGGAGGGACGAACGAATTGCCGGCAACAACTTCGGCTTCAGTGACAATTTGGATCTACAAGTCGGCGACGACGACTCTCAGCCGCCCATCATCTTCGTGTTGATGAATCGGTAGAACCTCAATAATTCCTTCATCGACGACGGCGGGGAAAAAGCGGGGCGGCGTGGAAGACGTGTCTCGATGGGGTGAAGGAAGATGAGGTCTGATGTGGGATTAGGGTGAGTTTGAATTTTAATTTATTTTATTATTTTCAGTATAAATTTACCCTTTTGCCCTTAATGAATCCTATTGTTATTATAAGTTATAACAACAAAAAGAGTGTTGTTATACTATCCGGAACCGGGTCGAGGTCGTAGCGTTCACTTTTTTGAGAGTCGTCATGGATCTTACTTGAAGTGGATCGACTACTCATTGGTCGGCTCTAACTTTAGGTCAGAACCGGGGCTTGGTATGCGAATTAGAAAGTGAACGTCTATTTGCCGCAAACTAAAAAAAATTCCCTTCCTTTCATTCTATAAATTCGGATACCATTAGGGATGGCAATGGGTCGGGGACGGATACTGCATATCCGTTAAGTAGTTCGGGTTTTACCCATACCCATACCCATACCCATACCCACATGTAAAACGGGTAGAAAATTAAAACCATGTCCATACCCGTTCGGGTTTCGGGTATCCACGGTTATCCATGGATAATGATTTCTCTTCATAACTCGAACCAATATGTTATATTCACACGTATTCTCACATTACGTAAGAGGAAAAGTATGACAATAATTCACTAGAATGAAAAAAAATTAAATGAAACAACATAATTTCATGAAAATATTATATTTATATGCTAAATATAAAATATGCTAGAGAAAAATAATGATTATTTCTAGATAAAATACATATGTATGTGTAAAATCGGGCGGGTTCGGGTTGGATAGTGAGAAACCCATGCCCACCCATCACCCGCAATATTCGGGTTCGGGTTTTACCCGTACCCACTAAATGTCATTCGGGTTCGGGTTTTACCCTATCCGATTAGGCCGGGTTCGGACGGATATCCACGGTTACGGATATTTTTGCCATCACTAGATACCATTAACATTTGACTCATTCCAACAAAAACTTCTGTCGCCGAACCTAGTGCCTCCGTCGCCGACCAACCTCCCGTCGCCCTCAATAGTCGGAAAACAAGTAAGTTTTTTTTTCCGGCAAGTTTTCCAGTTTTCCGGCGAGAAACACGGCGGGCCGAAAAAAAATTGCGGCCGAGACGCCGCCAAGCAGAAAGATTTTTTCGGCCAGGCGTGGAGCCAGCCTAAAACTTCTTTCGGCCGGCTCCCCGACTGGCCAAAAATATCTTCAGCGACGCACCGACCGCAGTTTTTGTTCGGCCCGACTGGATTTTGCAGCTAATTTAATTTAATTTTATATGTTAATTAATTAGTCAATAAAAAATTAATTAATTAGTTAATAGAAATTAGCAATTAGTGTTAATATTTATTTAAATTGGTGTATGAATGTTTTTTTGAAATAGGTGTATGAATGTTTAATTACTTAGATTAGTTAATAAAAAATTGATTAATTAATGAATGATTGATTTAACAATTAATGTTAATATTCAATACGTTAGTTAATAGAAATTAGCAATTAGTGTTGTTGGGGGGTGTTACGAATATACTCCGCGCACAGACTAAGTAATAGCGCGTCCAATCGACAACGTATGACGCTCGAAACCCGCTACAAGTGTATAAAGGTATGAAAC